GAGGAAATGCGCCCGAGGACTCGTCCGAGAGGCCTGCGTCGCCTGCATCGCCTGCACCTCCACACCTAGAGCGATCCCGAACGGTAGAGTCATTTGCCGACTTTGCAAAGCGGTCTTGGATATCCAGCTCGAGGTCTCCGTCGCCGCCCAGCAAGGCTGATCGAGCAAATGGCACGCAAAAGAGCAGGTTGGGTCTCAGAGCCCGATCCAATTCTGCTAGCCGTCTGGGCCTTGCAGACCCAGATGGGGATGCCAACCAAACTGCAGATTCACCAAGCAGCACTGGCAGCCCAAGCAGCACGAGTCGTGCTTTCAACCGTGCAAGTATTTACCTGACTAAGATCAAGCAAAAACCCCAGAGTGTGTTTTCAAAAAGTGCTTCGTCGCTCTCATTGTCAGCCTCGGCGTCGCCCTGGACCTCCAAATCCGTCGAATCCGAAAGCACTGCCCCGTCAGCTTTCGGCGCCACCACTACCGCCAGCACCACCGCACCCTCCGCCCCCGCCGCAGCCGCAGCCGCACCCGCGTCCGCTGCGAAATTGGCCAGCTTCCCTGTTGCCGGGGATAATGCCTCCCGCAGTAGCGTTGCCTCATCTTCCACCCCCCGAAACTCGTCTCATACCGCTTCCTCCGTCGACACGACAGCCGAGAACGCGTCTCAGTCCACCACAGACACCGGCGTCACGATGCCGCATCCAACATCCCGAGATCCGTTATGGAACACGTTCCGAACACTCGATACCGATTATGCCAAATTCACCGCCAAAAACTCGACTTCGGCACGGATAGGCGTTGTGCAGCTGACGCTTCTGCCGTTCTTGCGCAGCACGTCCCACCACCCGTCAAATTTCAATCGGTCAATCCTGAGCCCCGAGGATATCGAGCGTCGCGCAACAATATTGGATCAATGGTGGAATGGCTTGCTGGAGATACTGGATCTTGGCCATACGAGGCCCTTCGGCAGTAACTTTGGGCAGATGGCGAATGGTGCTGCCTCGAATCAGTTCTCGACGGCGATAAATATGCAACCCGTTGCGGGTGTCGACCGACCGACACTACTGGAGGCAATCACCATGATTATGGTGCGGCCTGAGTGGAGGTTATGCACCAGCTCTTTCCAACCGCTGGCAGAGCGCTCCCCAGAGGAGAGAGTTCGTGTAAGGTCGGGAACTCAGTCAACCATCGACAGCGATCAGGGCTTCCTAGCCGAGTCAGCTGAGCACAATGTCCGCAACATGTTTGTGACCAACTTGGTTGCGCAGATAGCTCTTGTTGTCGACAAGATGTCGATGCGCCACGCACCTCTAAGCCTCGTTAACTGGTGCGGCAAGGCATGTGCGTACGCCTTCTTCTTCGCTCCGAACGTTGCCGATGTTCTCGTGCGTCTCTGGATCCTCAATGGTGATCTGCTTCGCCGGGTCAGCGACGAATTCGGGCTGCCGCGGAAGAACAAGGGAGAAAGTGAAGATATCGTGGCACTCTTTCCGCCGCATCTGGGCAAGCTGGGCTGGTCATCAGTCAAGGAGCTCGGCGATAGATTGCGATTGGCGACAAAACTGCCTCTGACGCTTGCCAAAATCCCATGGCATGGCCCATGGGTGTCGAGGTGGCGGGGTGGTGATACAGACCTGTTCTTCATCTTCAGCAAGTACTACCATATCCTTGCCGAGGAGTTCATGCCAGAGGGACTTCCCCTACTCGAAAAAGCACGCGCCCCAGCTTTTGTCTTGCTCCACTCGCAGCTTCTCTCGATCTTGGACAGCACCATCCACCGACAAACATCTATCGATGCTATGCTTGGCCCCCCTCTTTCCGATTCGCTGCACGGCGCTGACGCAGCATTGACGGGACTACCTCTTCCGAGCAATCTTCTCAGGTCAATGGATGAGAATCGGCTGGTCATCCTCCTCAAGGATATGGTTGCAGAATCCTCATCGGGCGTTGTTGTTCCGGGAATCAAGCATACCTTTGCCGAGGCTTTCGTGCGCGTGCTCAAGGCCGCCACAAAACGGACGTCACGCTATGAACACACCGCCTGCTTCACGTTGTGCGATTTCCTCGAAGTCGCCCTGATGACGCTGGACTCATATCAAAACAATGTAAACAACAGCGTAGCGACATCGCCCACACAAGACACACATAATACTTTCGCGCTTGAGGTGATCAAGAGCTCGCAACCCGTCGACTATATTGACTGGCCGTTTTGGTTCGATGTCGGCAAGATGATCATGGGTTCCAACAACACAATGTCTGAGATCCGTATCATCTCCTTCATTTACACCGTGTGGGATGCTATCACCGCCGATCCTGTGCGCAAGGAGGCGCTTTGTCTGGACTGGCTCCTCTCAGTGGACATATTTGAGAAGTTCTTCAACAATTGGTGTCCAATGGTTCGGGCCTACTACATGCGTTTGCTCTGCTGGCGCGTCTGCAGAGACTCGGGCAGCCCGAATGAGTTGGACGTGTAAGTAACCTTCTTTACCGGTCACGGGCATCATGCTAATCAGGATCCTGCAGCAAAATCTTCCTCACCGTATCACAGCGGCTAAGGACTGTTTGGTCGCACTACCTCTGGGTCAAGCAGACGGCCGAGACACAAGGTCGCATGCTTCCGTCCAGCGCACCATGTTACCCGACACCGGGGAAGCGATTCCTGATCATCCGTACCGAGGTCCCACCAATGCAGCCCAGTATCCTGCCCGGTTTCGACTCATTCTCCAACTCGTACACAAATTCAGTCCCTGACTATCGCGGCCTCTACGACTCGAATGTCGACAACTCGGTTGCCAGAGGCGATCCTGCCTCGACTGCCTACAAGAAGAAATGGTCACTCCTAGGCAAGGTCCTTTCCTTCACAGCCCAACAGGCGAGTGCTGGCAATGGAACCTCCGGCGGCAAGCGAACCTGGGACGAAGAGCTTGAACAGGCTCGGCGTGAGACGGCGGCCTCGAGAACGGCGGCCGCGCGCTCTGGCCAGCCAAATCTATTGCAGTCTGCAGGCCCGCCTCCTCCACCGAAACAGAGACCATCACACACCTCCACACCATCGTCCGATTCAGGCTCTTCAACTGGATCTGCGCCTGTATACGATGCCGCAACGTATATCTTCCGTTTCTCTCTCGCCTGGCAAGGTAACGGTCCTGGTTCCGGCAGCCCTACACGAGATCGGATCTTGAGTCGGCCTCGTCTTCCGGCCCCTGCGCAGGCTTGTGTTAGCACCCGGGTTGCTAATTTGAACGGCAATGGAAACCTCAAGGGCGGTGTGATTTTCCGCAGCGAAAGCCCGCCTCCTATTGCCGCCGGGCTTCCGCCCGTGACCAGGCGGTTCAGCGGAGTCATGCAAACAGGCCTAGTCAGCGAGGCACGGAATGCAAGGCCTCTGTCCATGATGGCTATGCCTAACACAACAGACTTGGAGAAGCCTGACTTCAAGCGTCTCTCACTTAATATTAATGTTATGTCAATCCGGCTCCTCGACGATGAAGCAATTGACGATGACGGGTCGGATGTCCGATCACCAACGCCGATGTCAGCGACATTCGAGGGCTATGAGTCTGACCGCGGCCGATCCCCCGATTTCGATGGCGAGAGAATTCGGCCTCCGCCGACCGTTCGCGCGATGTGTCCAGTCGGCATCTACGCCCAGGGGGCCGTTTATGCTGGGCGCGCTCTGGCGGAGTGGGGCCTGGTGGTGGGCGAGTGCAACAGCTTTGTTGACCGCCGACGAGATGAGGGCGTCTTAGGACTGAGCGATGTCGAGGTTCCGACACTGTCCGTCGAAGGTCTGGGAATAAGACAAAGGGCCTAGGTCGACCCAGCAACACCACATCAACATCACATCTTCCTATTTTGGACAGTACTTTCGGGCGGCGTTGGGGTCTTGGGTGGCATAGACACAGCACAGCAAATTTCTTTTTTATGGTTCAGCATGCGGGTCATATCCGGCGATAATGCGTAATCGGTTTGGTTGATGAGCATTTGAAGCGACTTTCAGCGACGACATCACTTAATGTCTGTTCCTCGCACATGGCAAAACGTTATCCGGCTTTTTTTCCCTTCGGCTTGCAAAACACACTGACGGCGTTGGGAGATTTTCATTTGGGGGGCTTCACGTTTTGAGTTGTGAGGAAACTTGGGAATATGGATTTCTTCCCACATCTATTGCGCATTCTGCCCGACACTTTGCTTTCTACATCATGATGGCTTTTGGCATGACAGTAAGGGGATGACATGAGGAGAAGAGTGCCTTGGTTTTAGCCAGTGGGGTTGGGTATGTTGGGTATTGTATCCTTGCCTGTTGTTGCTTTTGGTGTTTCGGGGTGCGGGGCTTGGAAGTTTGGAAATGGATAAGATATCTGGACGATATCTGTTTCAAGAGACAGATATATCTGTATCTTTATTGTATCATATCACTCAGAACAGCGCATATGGCGAAATTTAAAATGGGTTGCGTGATCGGTTTGCGGCATTATGGCAGCTTCTTGTATCAAGCTGCATGTTCTGTGCTGTTAGATCGTGTGGTCCGAGTCTGCGCCGGGTCCAGGCATCATTGCCTGCCGTTTTTGGCAAGTAGATACTAGATCGACAGGTTTTCAGTAGTTATTTGGTGCCGGTCCGGTCCGGCAGCGGGTTTGGATAAGCCAACTACTCGCCGAGGCCCACAGCAATCCGCACCACGGGCCCACCCCGACGACATCAAGAGCTTAAGAGTGCCACAAACGGACTATCGTTACATCAATTAAGTAAAGCTCCTTGTGGTACATGGCTATTACGTTCGGCTGTAATTGGAAAATCATTTACCGGAAGGTCACCGGCTCGATTCTGGTTGAGCCCTTGATTCACGGGCCATACATACCGGGAAGTGAAGTTTATATTTTTATTAACCTGATTGTTCATGAGCAAAATGCAAAGCACCATCAGAGTGTGTGTGGCCTTTCATGTGTGGTGATCGGGAGAGGGATAAAAGTGAATTGACTCGGGAGTCCAAAAAGGTAATTCTGTGATCACACTCAGTATTGAACTGAGGACCTTCAGCGAAGGTTTTCGACCAGATGAACCTAAGGGCTCAAATGGTTCCATGTTAAGCTGACATGATAACCAACTACACCATGCGACCGAACTCGCTTGTTGATGCGTGAAGATGGAAGTCCACACCATGAATTGGGGCTCCGGTGCGTGGGACATGGGATTCTGGATTTTCAACATGTGGATAGCGAGCTTTCCGAGGATGGTTCCCACTTCACGAGCTCCATCTTGCACGTAAGTGGAGTTGGGGTGGATATAGGCAAGTTGTAAACTCCGTTACATGGAGTGTTTGAAGCATGATAGAGTTGCTTTCGGCAAGACAGGGCTCTGGTGGATCCGAATGATTTGAGCGGGTCTTTCAAGTTGTTTGCAAGGGTACTTGAGCTTGTTTCGTCAATAATAAAGCAAGAACCGAAGCATTGAAAAATGTGCTTAGCAGTCATGGTGAGCCGACTGCTCTCGGCGATTCTCGATAGCCACCACAAGACCAAGATACTGTAGATGGCAAACAAGCTAGCTCCCAAAACTATGTTGGGATTTGTTTACACCCCCTATTCATGCATGCTCGCCTGGCGGCTAAATGGCCGCCACCTTACACCCTTCTAAACCAATTGGAACCCCTTAGATAGTTCCATCGAACAAATCGCTTGCGATGAAGCAGTCTCGGTCCATGTCTCCTTTAAAAGTCTTGTGCAATGTACGCTCAATTCATCGTGAAAAAGCAAATGCTGCGCCTGATTCCCTCTATCGACCTCAAGGAAAGTTCTATCAGGTATATGCGGCAACCAGTATGATACTGTGCACCCAGTATATATATCCCGTACCCCCATTCCGTTCCATTTCTCATTCCGTTTCGCCCATTCCATCTCGTACCCTATCCTCCTGTTTTTTTTTCCTTTTGATTTCTCCTAAAACCCATTGGTCCCATTGACACCATTTCCATTAACCCCGCTGCCAACCTTGGCTGTCTCAGCCACCGCACGCTCAATGGCTTGGAGAACATCCGCCCGGAGATCCTCAGCATCCTCAACACCACAGCTGATGCGCACCAAGTCGTCAAAGACACCGACGACCTCACGCTGCTCCTTGGGAATGCCGGCGTGGGTCATGCTGCTGGGGACCTCGACGAGACTCTCGACGCCGCCGAGCGACTCGGCAAGAGTGAAGATCTTGGTGAGCTGGCAGAAGCGCTCGGCGGCGGCGTGGCCACCGCGGATGCGGAAGGACAGCATGCCGCCGCCCATGCCATTGCGGTGCTGCTTGAGGGCGATGGCACGGTGGGGGTGCGAGTCGATGCCGGGGTAGTTGACGGAAATGACGTGAGGGCTGGCCTCGAGGGCGATGGCGACAGCGGTGGCGTTGACGGTGGCCTCGCGCGCACGCAAGTGCAGTGTCTTGGCGCCGCGGTGGGCAAGCCACGAGTCAAATGCCGAGGGAATCGCACCGATGGCGTTTTGCAGGAAGGACAGGCGCGCGAGCAGCTCGTCGCTGTTGAAGGCAGCCACGCCCATGACTACGTCGCTGTGACCGTTGATGTACTTGGTCACGCTGTGCACGACAATGTCGGCGCCGTGGTCGAGCGGGTTCTGAATATAGGGGCTGAGGAAAGTGTTGTCAACGACAACCAGGATGCCGTGCTTGTGAGCGGCGGTAGCGACGGCGCGGATGTCAACCAGGCGCAGGGTCGGGTTGCTGGGGGTCTCGATCCAGACCAGCTTGGTGGCCTCGGTGATGTGCTCGCTGATGTCGAACTCGATCTCGGGCGTGAAGGTGACCTTGACACCGTGGGCCTTGGCAACCTGGGTAAAGTAGCGGTGGGTGCCGCCGTAGACATCGGACACGGAGATGACATGCGAGCCCGCGGCGAGCGACTGGAGGATGTTGGCGGTCGTGGCACTGCCAGACGAAAAGGCAAGGGCGTGCTTGGCGTGCTCGAGAGCAGCGACCATAACCTCAAAGTTACGGCGGTTCGGGTTGCTGCTGCGGCTGTACTCATACTCGCCAACGGGCTTGCCGACAGCGGTCTGGGCGAACGTGGTTGACAGCGAGATGGCCTCGATCACGGCGCCTGTCGCGGGGTCGTGCGGGGACCCCGCATGGACGGCTAGGGTGCCGAAGCCGTGAATGGGCGACGGCGCACGCGGCGGCGTCGCGATGGGTTGGTCGCTGTGAGCCGTCATGGCTCTGAAGTCTTCGTAATTGGTGCGCGGTGACCAATAAGTGCGAGGTGTCGATTGGACAATTGCAGCGACGGGCGTTGGAATAGTGCTGGAACGTGGGGGTCTTAAGGGCTGCTAAAGATGGCGAGGGCCTCGGTTTTGGTCAATTATGTGATTTTTTCGCCGATGGTGCAATTTCTTTTTCTCTGGCCCGCCCACCCGCAACGCGACATCCACACCCTGTTTTAAATATGTTTTGCGCCTGCCACTCTGCCGAATCAACGCCGAACTCGCTCCGGCTCCGATTCGAGTTATCAAAACGCTGCTTGTGCGGTGTGTGCGCTTTCGTCGGGCGTCGACGGGCGGCCATGCAATGACGTGATTGCTCATCGGGACTGATTGCTCATCGGGACTGATTGCAAATGCTGGGAACGCATGTGGAATCAAGCTCGGTCGCCTGGACGCACGGCACACGCCTTCCGCCTACCCATCACCTAACAGCGCGCCTTCCAACTGGACCAACTGGACGGCTTGACACAAGACCGTCTTCCGAGGCACATGGTGCACTGGCGCTCCGTTTTGACAAAACGCAGGACCTAGAGCGTAGCTTTGCCAACAAAGGAAAGCACCACAGGCTGAGGGGTGCGTCCCGGCGCATGGCACGGCAGATGACTTCCCCGGATTCTCCAAGATGTCCCCAATATCACGACGATCCCCAGACTCGCCAAGCGTGTTCACCCACATACCCAGGGGGTTGCAGAGGAAGCCGACAGACGGTGAACGGATAGCGACACCGTGTTTCCCGACCCACTCGGGACTGCCACTCTATCCCCGTTCCGTGGCGTGACAAGCGACCGCTACTTGACGGATCGCCCCTGAGGGACCCGAGGGCCGGATGCGGAATGCGCAATGCGCAAGCAAGTGCGATTGGGGATGCAGGGTAGCTTGGACTGACTCTTGAACGCGTCCAGCGATTCGGCTAAAAATAAGATGGATGGCGCCCTGTGGGCGACAGTGGCAATCCACGGAAAAGGAGGCAGATGGAAAGATCTGGGGCAGATCTATCTGAGGCGGGAAGGCCGGCTTATCATATCTGACCATGCGGTAAGCATAGTGGGCACCATAATGACTTCGCAATGCGACAGGACTGTGACGGGACCAAGTAACTGCCGTCATCAGGTCGCGGTGCTTGGCTGGGGTATAAAATTCCGCATTGGTCCCTGCGTGCGAGCCAGTCTTGATGGGATAGCAATGCCCTCGGACCGGACTTTGGACGTTGCCCGGGCTGTCGGATGGGAGCAAACGCGAACGGGCCGCAATCCGGAGCCGTGACTTGAGCACCGGGGTTAGGCAGGCGTTGCAGGGAGTCAGGTCCCTTGGCCGAGATGTCTATGTCTTGGCATCGTCTTTGGCTACGTGATTTCGTCGTGTCCATTGCCCCTAAGGTGCTCGCATGGCGCGTTCCCATGATATGTGTAGATGTCATTGACCTCTTTGTCTGTCTGCTGCGGCCTGGCGCTGCAAAAAGAATGACGGCGTCTATGTTCTGGCAGTCAAGTGTTAGCGTCAGGAGCATCGATGCCCCCTGTCGCGCTACGGGACCTGGTATCGTCCCCTGCCAAGCCAACCCCACCTGGGGCCAACACATGCCATTGGTCGCAGTCGGCCGCGATGAGGGTGCTGAGGGATTCGAGGGATTCATCGACAAGAGGCCCTCGTCGCCACACCACGCCCTCTCTGACGGCTCCGTGACCGACGAGTCGACTGTGCCGCCCGCTCTCATCACCACGACCCCTGCCTCGCCGCTGTAAATCTCGAGCTGCGTCCTGGGGAAGCAATTGACCAGCTCCCTGTGCCGCGGGCGCCGACTATGGAAGCCGACGACTGCTCGCGCTGCCACCAAAGGCCCTAACCACCCCCCCGTAGGTCGAGCGAGCCAACGAGCATGCCGCCGCGTCGCTCCCACAAGAAGTCGAGGGCCGGGTGCCGCCGCTGCAAGTCGCGCAAGATCAAGGTAGAATTGACCCCAACCACAGCTCGAACCAAAGTATCCGAGGTATCCGGACATGAGGGCACCCAGCTGACCAAGCCCATCGCAGTGCGACGAGGTCCACCCCCGATGCGGCAACTGCCTCAAGCACGGCGTCAGCTGCGACTTTGAACGCCCCGAGGCCCTCCAGACTGCTCCCTCTCCATCGACGCCCGCCAGCTCCGTCGGCTTCCAGTCACCCGTTGTCCGCGCCTCCGTCCCGGCCTTCTCCTTTGCCTCTGCCGCGGGACCGTCCTTCGCGGCGCCGCAGCTATGTCGCCCCCCGGCCACCCCCAGCATGTCCTCGACGACGCCGGCGGGCCACCGACTGCTGGAGTTGCGCCTGATGCACCAGTACACCGCCATGACGTGCAAGACATTCACCTTCACCGCCCCCGTGACGGAAGAGATATGGAAGATTACTGTGCCAAATCTCGCCTTCTCAGGATCGCAGCACTTGGCCGACGCTATCCTCGCCGTTGCCGCCCTGCACCTGCGTAGCCTAGCGCCCAACGACAAGGACCTCGTCCGCGCATCGCATGCCTACATGGCCGCCTCGCTCGCCGAATACAGTGCGACACTCACCAGGGGTATCGATAACACCAACGCCGAAGCGCTTTTCCTGACAGCCGCCCTCATCGCCTTCCAGTCTACTGCGACCCGTGTTTTTATGAAGGACGAGCTGAGCATCGGTGGGGGAGGCATTGTGGACGGGGAGGAGCGGGAGCGGAACCCTGCCGCCGGGTGTTACGCCATCCCCTTTTCCTGGTTTCACTCGTTCCAAGGTGTCAAAGCCATCACGGCAGCCTCGTGGCAGTACCTCCGCGCCAGCCCCGTCGTGACGCAGGTAATCAACTCCCAAGTGGTCCTACAGCTCGACTTCACGAGCGGGCCCGAGACCTT